TCACGCTCTTGCGTTTACTCGGGGGGCCCCCGGCCCTTCCCCCATGCTTTTCCGAGTCGGCGTCCATCAGGGATCGTTTCATACCGATCTTGGGGACTTCAGTCCGTTCGTCAGTTTCTTGGACATCCACCGCGTCGTCATTCTCTTCCGAGTCAACTTCGCCCGTGACGATTTCCTCTGATTCTGATTCACTCAGCATCGGCTTACTTCGCTCGGACTCAATCAAATTCATCGGCCCATTTGGCTTCAACTCACTCAACTTCGGCTTTGGAACAACCACCTTCGATCTGAGTTTGATCTTTGTGGTAAACCTTTCATCCATCTGCATCAGGGACGATGCCCACACCGTTTCATCGAAGTGTACATTCCGGGCTTTCTCGACACAGAGAATTTTCGAGAGGGATCATCAATAACCTTTCGTTCTTGACAATACCCAACGAAGATACATTTCTTCGTCTTTTCATCCCATTTTTTCTTTTCTCCTTGGGTACATGGGAGTATGCCAGACATCCGAACACCCTCAAAAACCTTAGATCGGGTTTTCTCCTGACCAAGCCTCCTCTGGACACATATCCCTCAAAGCAGCAGTCGGACTCAAATTCTTCAACTGACAGGCTGTGAGTATCGCTTCGGCCCAAAAAATTTGGTCGAGACCTGCGTCCGTTATCATTGACCGAGCCTTCTCCACTAATGTCCTCAGTGCTCGTTCGGCAAGACCATTCTGCTCAGGACAATATGGTACCGTGGTCTCATGTCGGATGCCGTGCTCCTTGAGAAAAGTTGACACTCTTCGATTCACGTATTCCGTACCGTTATCAGTTCGCAATCTCCTCAGCTTTTTCCCGGTACTTCTCTCAGAGTACCGTATGTACTCGACTAGTTTCTCGAAGGTCTCCGATTTCTCCTTCATGAAGGCCACCGAGGTCATCCTCGTGTAGTCGTCGACAAAGACAATGAAGTACCGATGACCACCAATGCTTTTATTAGCCATTGGGCCACATACGTCACTATGGACTAATTCCAGTGGACCCCCTGAGACCGATCGTGATTTCGGGAATTCCAGTCGTCGCTGTTTTCCACCCACACAGGCTCCACAGACGCCTTCTTCTAGATGGAATTTGTACAATTGACTCCATTCACGAGTCCCCCGGCTAACCTCCTTATTGCTTCCGGATGCAGATGGCCGAGCCTTCGATGCCATAGGTCGTACGAGTCGTGTAGTTTGCCATCTTGGACCATGAGAGCTGCTTGAATGGAGCATACATCCAATCGATACAAGTCGGTTCCAGAGCAACTGGCCTCAGCGCACAGATTGCCGTTACTGTTCCTGATCACGAACTTCTTTTCGTTGAAGCTCACTTTGAATCCCTTCTCGGCCAGTTGCTTTACTGATATCAGGTTCACTCGAAGTCCTGGCACGTATAATACGTCGCGCATTTTCGTGCATCGACATTCCCCATTCACATAACAACAACGACGACACTAGAACTTGCTCGAAATTCACGAGTTCGTTGTTCTCCTGCTCTCCTTTGTCCGAACTTCCATCATCTCGTTCATGCGCAACTTTGCCATGTTCTTCATAAGGATAACGATCTCTTTCTCTCCCGTACACCGAATTCGAGTAGCAGTCTTTTTGGAAATGACCTGATCTCCCACAAGTGTAACAGGTTCTTCGGAAATGAGGTTCCCCAACGGGCCTTCCTCTTGAGCTCAGATTTGATCCTCTAACAAACCCTCGGCCTCTAATTGTTGCTCTCATGGGGCCGCCCCGGCCTCGTGATTGCGGGATGCGATAGCTGTAATCGGGTCGTGAACCTATGAGCGCGGTCTCGCGCCTTTGTGCTTTCTGTCGGTCTGCCTCACAAAGTAGTCTTTCCTTGACGAGCTCACTTGATATCTCTCCCTGACTTAAGCTTTGGATTAGAGGCGTGTATTCTTCCGGGAGCTTCATCAGGATCAATCCCGCTAGGAGTCGATCCTCGATTTCGTTGTTGATTGCCTTGAGATTTTGAGCGATTGCAACTTTCTGATTCAAGTAGGTTTGCATGTCAGGACAATCGGAATACTTGAGGCTGGTCAGTTCTTCGAGTAACGCCACCTCTCTGTAGATCCCTCTGGGTTGGAACATTTTTTCTAATGATTCCCAGATCTCTTTACCAGAGGTCGCATCTCGGATCGAGGAGAAGAGGTTACTTTCAATTCTCGAAATGATTGCTCCTCTCGCTCGTTTGTTCTGGTATGAGTCCTCTTTGGTGCCATCGATGTATTCCCATGATTCACAAGTGAAAAGGTGCGCCTCCATTGCGAATTTCCAGTCCATGTAATTGTTCGCTCCTTCTAGTTTTTCGAACGAAGAAGGTACACATATGGATGTGATGGTCGATCTGGTTCTTTCATCGGGATGACTCCTCGGTAACTTCGGGGGAAGTTCTTCCTCACCATCAGTGTTGGTTCGACAGCGTTTTCTCGGGATTTCAGTTCCTAATCCGAGTAGAGTGTCCATGTTCTCCACAGTGGAATTTGTCGTTGTCTTGCTTCGGCTCGCAAGATTTTTCTTGCCACTTCTGGTAAGTGGGCCCATAACCTATAAGTTTATAGGTATGACACTTCGTTGTATCGGCCATACATCGATGATCTTTATTCCCTCCGCGACTCTTTATATAGCCCTCCGGATAACGACGCGCGAGGCTGGTGATCATGCGCAGATCCTTCTATCAGCTTGCCTCGTGGGGTACCCGTACAGGAGGTCTGATGGTGACAGAGCTCGCGGTTCATTGGGGTCCGTCACGACTGCCGAGATGGGCCGATCGTTTACTATCTTTTCTATTTCAGTGAGGACCGTTTCTAGTTCGCGGAATCTCAGACAGTGCACTCCCAAGATTTTCCTTAGCGGCCGCCTCACCGTCTGCACCATTCTCTCCCAGAAGCCACCTTGCCAAGGCGCCTTTTCTGTTGAGAATTGCCACGCTATGCGTTTGCTCGTCAGCAGAGAACGCGTCTCCGGAGCCTTAGCGTGGTCGAACAGAACGTTCAGCTCATTGTTCGCCTTCTTGAAAGTTTTTGCGTTATCCGATACGATACGGACAAGTGCTGGATTTCCGGCTATGAAGCGCCTCAAGGCGATCAAAAACTCATACGTACTGAGATACGGGACGAGCTCTAATCAGACCGCGCGCGTGACGGCGCAGACCAGCAGCAGGATATAGCTCTTTTGCTTTACCCCGAGATCATTTTTTATGTATATGGGTCCGGGACCCCCGTGACCGCAAACGGGGCGGAAGACTCAATTCGGAATCGGGGAAGCGGAGCCATAGGCTCGCTCGCCCTCTGCGCCCGAAATCGAAGACACGTTTTTGATGAAATACTGACTGCTTTCATATAGTAGCTGTAACATTCTCAGTATGATTACGGAATGCTTTTAGGCAATCCGTATGACCCAGATCTGAGGGCCACACGCTTTCAGATCTGGCTATTATGGAAAGACCCTGATCTGAGTGATGTAATCGCTCTGATGAATGTTCATGGACGACCCTGGCAGACTGCAGGGTCGTCCGGGTTGGTGCTTACAAATAATGCTTTCCACTAGGGTATATATACTGATAATAAAGCCTCACACATCGAGGAGTTACTGATTCACACCGAATCACCGTTTCTTTATTGTGCCGTGATCTTCCAGCCTCACAGCCTCTTTCAGATCCAGAGTCTACCGACTGACCACCAGTGGGTTAAATCCAACATTCGTTATCAGCACGATCAACTCTGTGGACATCTGTGATCAGATTTGAGTATTGTGAGACTTCTTTGTGAGTGACTCGTTGGTGTTCTTAGTGAAACAACGGTGCATCCTCGAGAAGTGCAAATGGCATCTCGAGACAAACAACGAGCACAGGAAGAT